GTACCTCGGGTCCAAGCTCATTGGGAGCGAGTACACCTTTGGAGAGTTATCGACGCGTAACTGGTCGAATGCCTGCCATGGACCACATACGTAGTCGAGGTCGAACACGAATGTTACAGGCTATTGGTCGATCTGGATCAGGTCAGTCGAATCTGAGTCTGGGAAGTGACATAATGTCTTAATCTGCAAGTGCTCTGTTGTCAATCAAACTGTCCTCATTTTTTCCTGATACAGCTAAGCCTGAAAGAACCGCCTAATGAGTGTCTTCTACCGATTTTTATTCAGTTGTCTATTCTAGATATAATGAACACCCCGAATGATTATGGTTTAATTTTCCGCATTACTTATTGGAAATGGGAGGTGGACCAATTTATCTCTAAGTGTTATAAGTCTTCACAAGATCACTTAGGCTGTTGATTGCGTCACACTACAAGTAAACAACACATAAACACCCAGTATGGACTCTGATTATTTCTCGCCAAATTAAATCTAACACGATATTCTTTCGTTGAAACCACAGCTAGATCCTTCTCTCGTCCTGAAGATGAGAGCTAGTTCAAACAAAGTTTCTTCCTTATATTGGGCTTTTGTTTTCATGCTATTTGAACCAATGTAGTTCACACGTATTTTCACCACAATCCATTTTAGTCTTTAAGAAACCACGGTCATGTGGCGGGGTCACAAACACCTCACACGAAACCGTGCACCTGTTCTCCGCGGTTGTCATGAGGCGTTGGCTTACCTGGTCTCGCCTTAACACCTTTATTTGATTAGCTCCTTGTCTCCCTTGAGCATTGCGTTCTAGATGATGGTGGGGTAGCTGCGGAACGTTCGGAGTTATGACAATTTGAATATGGACAACTTATTTGAATACAAGATATTGTCAGTAGATCGATTTTACCATCGTTTTTATCACGGTATTCTATAAACTCCTGACTGACAGTAGCCTTCTTGAGTGTCATAGTAGTTGCTCCCTAAATATCTATTTAAACTGAAGAGCACTTGCTGTTGTTTGAAGAACTTTTTTTCTTGATTGTCTCCTGATCCAGTCGAAGAAACTTAAAGTGTGTTAGTTTCCCGGATATCTTGTAATCTTTTATTATTCAATGTGATCATTCGATTTTTTTGCGGCATTTTGATAATCACGTTTGACTTCGTCAAACAAAAGAAACGTGAACAGAAAAACAGAAGTAGAAAACAGTAGTTTTGATCCCGTTGCATTTCATCCGTAATGCGAATCAGCTGATGACTGAATCTGGAATAGCTCAGATAGAACGCCAACGTATTTTACTTCATTTGATCACTAAGTAGCTAATCAGTTTGTCCATGAAATAAATAGCTCAATCCCTTTTCGTAAGTATGGCAAATACGTCACACCCTGCTCATTTGGTGTTTGGCTCCAGGGTTATCTATTGATCAGAAACGATTTTTTAAATGTTGTTTACCACAATGATTTTGTGCGATACCGGGCACAATTGAACAGAAAGCTGATGTGATTTACAGCGTAGATTGAGAGAAGCCTGAGATATCAACTTTCTGAATGTGAAAAGAATGCGGTCACATATATACTGGTTGATTCTTTATCTTGCATTTTGGACAACCAAATCTATTTTAGCCGCCTAGCTTGCCAGCTTTAGAGGTTGTGCCCAAGAATTGGGGTGTGCCATAGGTTTGTAATCAGGAAACCACAGACTACCTTCGTATCGGAGAATATTGTCGTTAATTGCTGTCATTCCATTCAGAAAGAGTGGAAATATGGCATAAGATTATCATGGAAAAAGGTCATTCTTAAATTTCCTTATAGGCAAAAAAGATCTTAATGAGTTCTTTCACTAACTGGCTATTCATTTTTCTTTTCATTTGAAAACCAATCCAGTGTGATTGTCATGGCTTAAATAACATAGTCTGCCCATAGTTGGTGGAGGCATATCATCCTCCCACCAAATATTTCCTTTTGGTGCGTTAAGTCGAACGCCGTATGCTATCATATTGCTCATTTAGATATAACTTCTCGTGAACAGGGAGCCTCGGTGGAACCAGATTTACCTGACTGAAGCTCACGTTATTGGCCCTGTTTTCGGATTTTCAAATCGAATCACGTCTCTATGCCAGAATCCGTTCAGTTTCGTTTGGATTCTGAAACACTAAATGGACTTTAGAAACGTTTGTACTTCTTGTAAGATAGACTTTGAAATCTGCCTAATACAATGTCATTTTTTCGACTGCATTGGTTCGCTACAACCCAGAGGATGAAGGACAATAGAAAACGTATTATACGGGATGATAACAATACCAAATCAGGGGATGAACCCCAACGCGTCGGACCCTGGTCAGTCAGCCGGATAGTTCAGTGCATTCCGCACACCAGTCAGCCGAAAAAGGTGATATCCAGAGAGGCGAACAGACGTACAGGATTGTACGGATTATTTGTGGACACGATTTGTAAGCAAGAGCATAGAGAATCGGTGTAGTCAATCTCATGAGAAATGCATTGATTTTTGACCAACTGCCGATACAAATTTGTTTAGTTCGCATTAGGTGGTCATTCGTAAGTTGATGTTGAAGACGTTTTGACAACAAAAAAACTGTAGCATGCAGAAGGACGTACACCCGTCACTTACATACATGTATACATACATACATACATACATAAAAACTGTTGAATGCCTTTTTTTCTTGTAAAAAATATTCAACATACTTTTTATTGCTATCTTATCCACAACAGCCTAGTGACTGATGAGGCAATGCTCAAGGTCAGAATTACAGTTTCGGACCATATTGACCTCGTGATTCAATTTCACTAGAGTATGTTGAATAGCTCTGCGAAAAAATAGGGTTATTCTGGAGTGCCTGAAGTCATTTGATCTGGTAGGGAAATAATGAATTTGTTTCAGCACTGTTCACTCATTCAAGAAATAATTGGTTGTACGGTCAGGAGGACAAGTGAATGATATTGGTGGTCCGAAGTTTCTGTAACGATAACAAGGGCAATGCAGACTGTAGTGCGCGCCGCAAACATGAAGATGAGAGTTATACTATTCATATGCGATGAAAATATTTCTGAAAACCGATGAGGAGCGCGAGACAGCCGTTTCCTTCTGTTTTTGGGACTCGTCCGCAGTGCGTACATTTTGTATTTCTGTCAGGACTCAAACTTTGAACCTTCAAGTTGCGAATTAACGATAAACGAGTGAAACCCACACCCATCGGTAGTGCCCTAGTGTCCTTGTACAATCGGCTGGATTAATCAAAGCACTTAACCTTTAAATGAGTTGTGCCATACTGTGCATAAACAAAGAGTAAAATTGTTTGATCAGCTGCGCGTTGATCAAATGGGTGCTACGTTTGCTCTCTATCCTTGAGGTTCCCGTTAAATCTTCAGTTGGGTGTTCCAATTGGTAGCAGTTTTATCTCAAATACGATTACAATCGCCAGATAATAAGGAAGGCGCTTCGACTTGATTCGATCTGTTTATGTATTTTCCGCTCATAAACAGACAATATGGATATTCCACCATTTCTCTAACCTTACCATCAACTCGTTGGCTTACCTTAGACTAGTATGTGTTGCTCCTATGTGGTTTGGTTGAACTGCACTACTTGGTACGGCATCATTTAGCCCCATTTCATAAGAGTTCATGGATAGACTCCGAACTCGTTGGAACACTTTTCACGGAAACGTATAAGTTCTACAACAACAAGCCACGCAAATTTGTCCTGCGCTTTTGGTTGCTGTCTCTTGGCAGTCCATTTTAATGAAAATCAAAGGGAAGAAAAAATTATTAGTATCAGAGTGAAAGTAGATAATTCATGAAGATTAAGGTTGCGGGGATGGCGAGTAGATTCACTGACGCCACTGCTTACGACACCCAGCCATATCACTCAGTATCGTGAACCATAGATGACAATGATCCTGATGTCCTAACGCAATTTATAAGATCAAGTGTCTTAGTCAGGGTTTTCACACTGTCCTTCAATGTCTCAGTTTAATTATTTTTTACTTTTCCCATCGATCACCTGCCTCGGGAAACAATGCAATTTATTTGGTGGCATGCATAACTTCCCCCAACGTATCCATCTGCAAAGAACCACTTATGCCCTTACAATTTCGAAAACTGCTTTGAATGTTCGCTTCTGTGAAATCACTTCTGACGTGCAATATTTTGAACCGATTTCAAACTTACAGTTGAGCATTTCATTACATTTTATTTAGATCATTCAGAATCTGTACCCGTTTGGGCTAACGTATTCGGGACCATCAAGGAATTGATTGTGAAATTACCTAAATTTTTTTGGCGCTAAAGGGTATTTAGAGACACTGTAATGTCTGCTTTGTTTTATCGGCAGTCATCTATTAACCTACTTGAGGCGGGTAAGATACAAAGATGCATCTGAATTATTGAAATTGATAGAGGTTCCTTGTTCCTATTTTGAGTTTTATTACCTTCGTACTGTCATCGATTTTGTTCATCAAACTCAGAAGAGATTAGCACCCATCGAAGGAATGCCGTCAGTGTGGAGGACATGATAAAAACAGTCTTGTTTCCAATTTCATCCAGTTGAATTGAAATATTTTGAATATAACTAAGAGTATAAAAAAATGTTTGGGTCAAGTGTATTCGCAGTGTATGCATGCTATTCTTGGGAAAAGCTTCTGTTNCTGTTAAACAGCTGGTACCTCACCGCAATAACCAACTGAAAAAACCACCCAGACATCATTTTGTTAGATGCTGTTTTGATGGTGTTTTGTGTTCCCCAGTCCGAGTTAGGCTACTAGTTCCTCTTGTGTGCACTTGTTTTCCTTCTGCTTATTTGGTGCCGTATCGGTATACCATTTGCGTCTGAACATAACAAGCGTCTCTCCTTTGCTGTGTGGTACTGAATCCTGTTTCTTCTCTCTGTCTCCCTCTCTCTCTCTCTCTCTCTCTCTCTCTCTCTCTCTGTGACTCCGCCCGTTCTTCCCCAACAAGATCACGAGCATTCATACTGTCCCATACTATCCGCTTATTCGAGCCAGACAATAATGCATATAATAGAATATCTGAGAAGTAAAACACTGTAAACAAACCTCAGATTGAGTTATTTTAGCTTAAGTGCAATTGGCCTTGATACTATTTCACTTCCGTTCTTTGACCCTCGCCCCGTTTTTATCTGAATTGTGCGAGCCTGATTTGAACATACTACCCGGCCGACTGATAATGGATCAAATTCATCGTAGTTCAGTGCTAGTAGTACTAGGGATACAATTCCAGTAAGACGCATGTAGTCGGGGAAATCAATCAGTGAAGGTAGTTCATGTTCACGTCCTACCTAAATGGGCACATGGAGTGAAACGTGGATAACGTGAAATGAGATCCGATATGAGGTCTCTCCTATGTTTAAAAATCATTTTTGAAAATTGTTTGGTTCAATCTGAATGCTATATATAGCCGATTTCTTATAGGGTTAATCCGTCAATCACTTTTAGTTTTAGTTGGTATTGACAAACATTAGCCCCAAATTTGAATACTCCAATTTTTTAGTTACTTTTTTGCTCCATAACGTCACAATCAGCAGGACCCATTCTGCCACGGATGAAAACAATTGATAGATTGGGAAGGGGACCTAACGACTCAAATTGGAGTACTGTTCTCATTCATTGTTCATGTCACATGATACCAATTGATTCAAACAAAGTCAATGTTATAATTGATTGATTTGACCGACTATCCTTCGGACTTCACCCTCACGCACAATCCTCGGTTCATCGATTCAACCATACAATCGGAAGCACTAGACTCGAGTTTTGCTCTTATTAGAGCTCACCAGTAGTGTATATGCATCGTCCCGTACGGGATTTGAACTCCGGACCCATCGTATGAAAGGCGTGTGTGTTACCACTGTGCCAACTAGCTCATGCCATGGCTGAGCCAAATTGCCAATTCATGTTTGTTTGTCTAGTGCTTCCGAGTGTATGGTTGAATCGATGAAGTGAGGATTGTGCGTGAAAATGAAATCCGAGGGATAGTCAGTCAAATCAATCAATATGAATTATCCCATACACACACTGCTCACAAGTAACTGTGAGTCTAATGCGAAGATCAATGTTATAAATTCAGTAATGTTGTGTTTAGCTGAGTGCATCAGATTTCACAGGTACTATGTTTTTTTTGTGTATGAGTTTTAATTTATTCTCATTGATGATGTCTCTCATGATGTCTCATGATGTCTCTCATACTTTTGACGAACAGTACTGAAATGATGGTGAAAAATAATTGTCAACACACAAACACCGAATCCACCTTAGTTGGCAGCAACTTTCTGAAGTAAAACGGAAGTCAGTCAAAGACTTTGAGATGACAATGAAAATAATGAAACGTAGGTAGATTCAATGAAGGGGAGGGAGGGAGATTTGTGGGAAAACCCAGACACATTTTGTCAATCATCGAACATCGGTTAGGGTGAGCAATTGACTCATGGAACCTGAATTCGATATTTCAGTACAGCTGGCCTTTCCTAGCAGTTCCAATAAGTGAGTTGACTAAAATGCTTCCGTTCAATTATAAGCATGGCATTTCAGGATAAATACTTCTGGCACCCATTTTAGGGTTCTATTAGTTTTACATGAAAGATAACCTTGCCCAAAAGGAAGTTTGTGAAGTCACGAAAAGTACGAGACATGGTGTTCGTCTGGTTAAATCTTATCAAGGAGTCAAATCTTGGTTGTCATTTGTATCCACCTTTACGTAGTTTTACTATTCACTGATCGTTTATTTCTTTCGCACATTCTTTTTTGCAGCTGATGCGGCGCGGATACCATACGGAGATCCGTATGATGTCGAACAAAGTGAGTCATTCCAACCCCCGTCGGATCGTTTTTAATCAGTGAGCTGCTGGGTGAAACAGTCCCTAATTCTGGTCTTGGTGAATTGATTACTAGCAGCGACAAGCTTACATTAGGATAGTCAATTTCGTTCAGTTTTGATAGCATTCAATGAGTTATTACATGTCGGTTTTGATTCAAATTACAATCTTTCTTCCTGTAACGGGCGGCTTTTATCACATTTGGTCCCTTTAGACGAAGATGCTGCCCTATTAGCCCTTTTGGAACAAAGACTTGCGCGAATGGATGCACGGGGAATGCTGTCGGATACTGAAGCAATTTTGGGCGATGGAACGGACATCCCATTGAAAGTAGTCGGTCCACAGCAACGATCCGGTCACGTCGTGGACGGATCAAGTCAAGCGATTATGGGAGACTTCGCACCAGGTAACCCTATCTTCACTCACCCTCCCCCCCCCTGTTCCTAAGGCAGTAGGTGATGTAACCGTACTTGAAAGACTTTAAATGATAGCTGTTAGTGGGTTTGGATACTATTGCATGTGTTTCCTTTGCGGGCCGTTAGACCACCACTACAATTTTCCATTCATCAAATTCGAAATTCTCTCGATCAAACCTTTATCAAACTCACCATGACCAAGTCTGTCTGCAATGTCTCGCGACCACTGTCCTATTGCGAAAACCTGCAGATAATAATGATGTTAAAGGATTCATTTATAACCACCACTGACATCAAATGATACCGGATTCATTGTTTAGCGTACTGTGATCCTATCACCAATTCATTGTAATTATAACAAAATAATCCATAGTTTTAAATACATATTTTACATGCATACAAAAAAATGAACATCTAAATACGATGCCTTATCCCAACGAGTCCTGAGATGCACCATCCACCGGGAATCGGTCCTTTCTCGAACGGGGTACCTGAAAATAACAACAAAGGAATATTCAACACGAGCCATAGGCATGGTGATAGAGACTGACAGACAGCAATACTGAAAAGAGTTAGTAAAATAATTTCCGAACACCCATTTCTTGCGCATTCAATAAAACAATCGGTTCAATTCAGTGGTGTCGGCATAAATAAGTAGTCCGTATTTCACATTTAAGGCTTTTTATGAAACTTGTAACCCCGAAATAGGCACAAGTAAGTTGCCCCTGATTGGATTAAAATTATCTTCGTTCTACAGCACGAGGATCTCGAGAACCAAAATCGTAAAATCAACTATTCTAAAATTTTCCGTTCATTAGAACTGCATATCTTTACCATCAGTCTCGGTAAATGGTGCTCACTGAGGAATTTGGATTACATGTGTATATCAATGCCCTCTGATAAGAGTTCATGTTTCATTTCGCTATTTTTATTGGAACGAGCTGTCTCAGCCTTCCACATACCGACGCTGATCCCACTGGGTTCAAAAAGCTCACAGGCTGCTCTTTGGACTGCACGCTCTCCATTAAACACAACAAAGCACACTTGATTGGCTCAGCATGCACTCAGCCCTTCCCCACCCCTATTGGGGGCAATTTATTGGAGCTGCACACGAAAAGGGCAAATACATTATGAGAACAATTGGAAATCGTGCGTCAGTGCGGTTCACAAAAGTGAATCAAACGGACAAGTCGGAATACAAACACTGCCAGATGAATTCCTTTCGCATACTCTCATCGGTAGCATGCTTCAAGCAAGATAGACAAATGAAGTGAATTTAGAATCTAGTTAGTTTTTATTGTGTGTATGGAGGGGGGGGGTCTGGGTGGGCTCTTGTACATAATTAGTTATAGCCAAGGTAGACTAAGAGTAAAAATCATATCTTTTTGGACACACATTGAGTTTTTTGTGAGTCTACGGTAGTTCTTCTAGTATCGTCAGTCGGCGTTTGTCGCGATGACGTCAAAAAACCGAGAACGCGTTAGTAGGGTCTACCATATGACGAATTTCAATCAAGTGGTCTTCGATGACCGAGATCGGTTTGCATGGTGAGGTCATGATTAGCCTGCGCGGGGAAACACATGAGTTGGGGTTATTCATAGTGCTCATCGTTCAGGTGTGGTCATTAACCAAAGGTAAAACATGTTTCTTCAATCACCCGGTGCATCTACAATAACAAAATGAGCAGAATACTCCCAACAGAGAGCTCGGTTTGAAAAGAAGTGGAACTATACCTTTTCAACTTCAAGTGAATCCGTTGTAACTTCACGTGAATCCAACCAATCGCACTCCATTAGAAACCCCGACAAGATGATTGGTGTTTTGGCCGTCAAATGTCACCGATTGGACCGGGTCCGTCTAAACCCCCTCCAGTTCGAATGAACTAATTTCTCGGTAAACAAACAAAAGTACATTTTTCGCGAGTTACCGAGCCAGGTTGATTGTTTCGGTAGGGTGGTAGGTGGG